GTTCCCCCCGGTAAGGCTCCGTGCGGAAGAGCCCAGGTCCGTCCCAACTAATGACCAGCAGCCTGCTCAGTGGATTTGCTTTCACGCTGCAAAGCAGTTGGTTAATTACATCCCTGTTCTGCAAATTGCTTAGAGATTAAATCCGAAGGAAGCCACTAAATTTAAGTCCCTGTTGAAGTGCGGAGGCTGGATCAGGGCCATTGCAGCGACACGCGTAACGCAGACCCTGGGTGAGCAAGATCCCACCCGCCTTCCAAACTGCCTGGAAGCAAAGAGCTAAACCCGGGCAAAGGTCTGCGGGATGGCGGATCGTCCCTTTAGACAATCCAGCTTGTCCACAGCTGGATTCAGCGTATATCCACACCGTGACGCGGTCTGCCGTGGAGAAATAGCCCGTGTCTGGTGCGGTGACAGAGCCTGGGAGCGGGCGTGGAGGGTAACAGCCTGATGTCCGAGCAGAGATCCCGGGCGCAGGGAATCCCGTGGGATCGGCAGGATGGATGCGGAGAAAGGCAGGCAGCGAGGAGGCAGGGCGGGATCCCGCTGCCAGGCAGCCGGCGTGGGGTGCGGGGGGCTGCGGGCGGGCGAAGGAGCGTTGGCGAGGACAATTTGCACGTGGAAAGCTGACGTGTGTGTCTGCAGAGTTAACAGCCCGTGCAAACGAGACCCGTGCAAACGTGCTTTTTCTTTAGGGGTTGTAAACGCTGTATTTCAAGCGCCAGACAATTAATTTCCCTTCTTTCTAGCTACCTGCCCCTTTCCTTCTGCCCGGCTAAGCTAAAACCAGATCGAATCATAATCCACATCGCGCTAAAACGATACGGAACAAGATGATGGGCTCGGGCATTATCTGCGTCTATCAGCCCCTCTCTTACCCCCTCTCCGCCCTCCCCCGCCTGCCTGGTCCTTTTCAAGCGCATCCCCGTGGGACTCAGCCCCCGGCACAAGCAGGGTTTTGTCTGGGTTTCGATTCAGGGGCTTAGCAGCCAAAGTCCGTCAAATCACGGTGTCTGACTAAAGCTTTCGATTTATGGCTAAATTAGATATTAAGGATTACCGAGATGCTTGGCTATAATCAAGCTTTTGGATCGGTGCTTTAATACAGGTGTTTACACTGGGCCCAGTCCTTCAGGTTCTGGCTCATTTGCAAGGCTGGGCTCAAAATGTTTTGGGGAAAAATAGGTACCAGATGATGCTGTCTAAAAAGGAGCGATTTGTAGGGACGTGCATCCTTATGCTGAGGCATCTCTGTGGTCGGCTGGGCTTTGCCCATCGCTCTGATGGTCACCTGCCAGGTGGCATCTGCGGCACGTCGGAGCATCGCTCCTGCAGGCCCTCAGCCCTTGGGAGGTGCAGAAGAGCAGGGGGGTTTCACCGGGCACTTGGCATTTGGTTTCCTCTGCAAGGAAATGAGTTGTGGGTTTTTTGCAACTATTTCTCTATCCCTTTTTGGGAAAGTTTGGTGCATTGAAAATCTTCTTAAAAATTAGATATAAACGGAGATGAAAATGTAAAAATTATCTGCAAGGGCATTTTGTAACTTTGGAGGCTCACCTTTTTACTGGTTTTCCTCAGAACTCTAATTACAATTAAAAATGCATCAGTCAATCAATTGGAACAAAATCCTGGCAAAAATTCTCAGCCGACTCCTTGAATTAATTACAAGGCAAGTTTCTTTATGGGCAATAAATCTCTTATTATAACACAGCTATGGGGCATTTTCAATTTCTCCATTGCTTGACAGGTTTGGGGCAAAACCTGATCTCTTACTGAAAGACATGATGCAGGAATCGAGACTGAGTGGTGTCAGAATTTGTGTTATACAGTGGTGCTTGATCTGTGCGTCCCCAGATGAAGATGAACGGGTCTTTTTTCTGATTTCAAGATTTTAGGACTAGATGCCTCTTAGCTGGCAACTTTCAGTGAATAGAGACACATGCTTGAAGCCTGTGAAGACTCGAAGTGTCTTTGAGATTTTTGGAAAATAAATAGCGTCTGAGGTGTTTTTTTCTCTCATACCTCATGGGAGTAAAAAGATTTTAAGCTCCATTTCCATAAGATTCAAGGCTGGAATCTGGTTTTGCTGAAAAGAGCATTTAGGTGTTGAAACCATTGTGTTATTGTAGCAGGCTGTAGCACATTCTCCACTGCCCTGTTAGCAGTGCTGGGCAGCCCAGCGCTGCTGAGGTCCCTTTAGTCCCCACCACCTTCCCCATGACCCCGTGGTACAGAGGGCTGTGTGCGTCAGGGACAAGAAACCATCTCTTGCCATGAGCTCTTGCACATTATTTCATAAGAAGGGTATTCACATGCTGTTTTGGGAGTGGAAAATTGCCTTTTTTAAGGCATCAGACTGGGATCTTAGAGATCAGGGGTGAGTTTCTCATTCTGGCACCCCCCAGCTTATCCCAGGGGCTCTTTGTGACTTGGGGGGACTCCCTGCTCCTGAGCATGCTGCGAGGAGAAGCGAGTTGTATGGCTGCTCCACACTGCGGAAGCCGTTAGCTTTAGTCTGGCTGCTCAGGAGTGTGTCCCCATGCAAACCCTGCGGCAGGGGTGTTTCATGTCATGTGCTGGACCCAAGGGGCTCGGTTTCCCCTGAAGGGAGGAAAGTGTGAAGGTGTTTAATCAACCTGAATGTGCGATTCCTCTTCTCGCATCATGTCAGGTGGGATCTGTTAAGGTGCAGCCTCACTAGGATGCCTCAAAATTCACATCTCTGTCCACCCTGCCACAGTCGAAGCAGCTGTGAGTTTTGCTATATAAGATGTATAAATGACCCCCAGGATGATGGTTTCAGTGGGTGATGGCAGAGTTGCTGGTTTAAACTGCTCACCACGGCCAGGGACTTGCTCCCACCAGGAGTGAGTAGTTAGGCAAGTGTCTCAGAGTGGGGGCCAGAGGGGAGAGATGGTGTGGATGGGAGTATCCACAACCTGTCCTTTGGGGTACAACTCACCGATGTGGCTTTGTACTTTGTGATGATTTTCACTGTATGTGATACATCCCATCCTATGGGAATTTCTGCCATGGCCATTCTCCCATAGTTTCATGAGACTGTTGTGTCCTTCCACTGCTGGTGTCTCCTGGAAGTGGGGATGGAAAGGGTACAATAATAAAGGCATGTTAATGGTAGTATCTCCTTACATGCACTGGTTTCTGTGGACACAAGGACCTGCAGTCCTGATTTCCAGTGTTGCTATTCCTGCAGCACAGTGCTTTTAGTTTCCCCTGGCACAGGCAATGTCTCACTCATGCCAAGAGGAGTTACCCTGATGATCTGGAGGGAGAATTGATGCGTTCTGTGTGTCCATCCTGTGTAACATGCCCCATCAGGAATATGGCTGCAAAATTAGAGAGATTTAACTGGAGTTCACATGTAACTGAGCCAAACTGAGTAACTCTAGCAATTTAGAGTCCCTTCTCCAATTACTGTCAGATAGGGAGTCTTTGGGCGTGATGTTCAGAGAGAGTAGGCAGTCCTCAGGTCAGCTGTGAAAGCGCTTCATCCTCCACCCACGATCACCCTTCTAGCAAGGATGCTGCTTTCACTCTGTGTGTCACATTGCTGCCTGTCTGCGTTGCTACAGGGTGAATCCTGCCGCCTCGTTTCATATAAACCACCCAGAAGGCTGGTGGCAGTCCTGCCGTCTTTATCAGCTCTGGATCCTGCCTACAGCAGGGAAGATCTCTGCATCTTAGAGTTGTCAAAGCCCCTGCTCAAGCTAATTTCCTCCTGTCCCAATGGTATGTCCTTAAGACATTTTTGGGATAGAAAAAAACCCAAAACAAAACAGTGAGATAAACTTTTAATAGGACCTTTGTTGCTGATATACCCTAAAAATATAGCAGCCTTCTGGATGTGTCATGGCCTAAGCCTTCCTCCTTGGAGAGGTAAATTTAGGTAGCTCAGGAGACATCTAAAAAGATGCAACCCCGTTTTTTCCCTTCCACTGCACTGAACAGAAGTTATGGGTCCCTCAGCTCATCAGGTTAGCTTCCAGTTAGCTGGAAACTCCTGTTGCTGTCTTGCTGATGTGACGAAAGTAAATAATTTCATTTGGGAAACGGTGACCTATTCAGCAAAGTAATAAATGACATGTTACGCCCCACTCCTAATTCTGCGTGTTTGCAATTGCAGGTCCTCATACGAAAGTGGTCCGCCGCATTTTTACCAATAGCCGGGAGAGGTGGAGGCAGCAGAATGTCAATGGAGCCTTTGCAGAGCTTCGCAAGCTCATCCCCACGCACCCGCCTGACAAAAAACTGAGCAAGAACGAGATTTTGCGCCTGGCTATGAAATACATCAACTTCCTGGCCAAGCTGCTCAACGACCAAGAGGAAGAAGGAAACCAAAGGGGTAAAGTGAACAAAGACTCTGGGATAGTCCAGGAAGACCTCCTGCAGGACATGTTGTCTCCTAACTCTAGCTGTGGAAGTTCTTTAGACGGAGCGGCAAGCCCGGACAGCTTCACGGAAGAGCACGAAACACTAGATTCGAAGCACACGCGGAGCCTGCACCACGCCATTCTTCCTGTAGAAGGCAACGCGCAGCGGTGATGACCTTCCGCATCGCTCCTCAAGCACCAAGGCGGGAGGCGAGACCCGAGTGTGCGGATGCTGGAACTTGTGCCCGTGGGATTTGTGACTCTGCCTTTCTCCAGGCGCTCGGGCTCCCCGTCCTCCCCAGCCAGGGACGGAGCGGCCAGTGTGCTGGCCAAGGACAAGACCAACCCAGATGGACGTTCGGCATTTAGGTACGTGATCGTACAAAGAAGAAAAGCATTGAAGTCATCTTCATTGTACATACTGCTCGTGATGTGACTGTGGAGGGGAAGGAGATGTGGCAAACACCTCTCCAGCATTTAGAGGGTTCTCAGACCGTTTGGCGACCATCACTTTTTAAGTGATGAGACACTTTTTAAGCAGCTGAGACATGAAACTCCTCTTTCACTGCCAGTGGAGGCCACCGAAGCTTTCCAACTCCGTGTGGCGCTGGAGACTGCTGAAACCTGCCAGCACTTCAGCATTTCTCCAGCCTGTGGCACACACAATTCGTCTGAGCAGAAGCTGAGGCCACGTGTTCCTGTTGTCCGAGAGCTTTTGACTGTATCTTTTTAAAGAGGTGAAAAAACACCCTCAGCAAAAGAACTATTAAAAGGATTAAGACTTTTTCTTTTCTCTCTTTTTGCCTTTTTTTTTTTTTTTTTCCCCCTTTCTTCCTTTCCCTTCTACATAACTTTGGATTGTTTGGGGTCGTTGTATTTATGACGTGGGATTACTTCTGTATAATGCTGTCACGCAGTATCCGCTGAACGAAAAGGTACATAGGTGTTTTCTGACGCCCTCCCAGTCCCTGGTTTTTCTGGTGGTAATGCTTGGCGGGTGAGCTCCAAGACTGTTGTGTTCTCCTCGAGTTTTCCCAGTGGTGTCCATAGGGTCAGGGCTTCTCTCAAGGAAGATGAATTTCACAACTGGTAAGGGGAAAAAAACCCCAAATCTACTGAAGTATCCTCTTGGACTGGGGGATTTTTAAATTCAAAAAACAACTAAAAGGCAAAAGGAGTCGATGATGCATCAACAGTGCGTGTGTACATAGGGTATAAAAGGGTTTTAATAGTATGCTTTGAATTTTTGGTTTCATTGTGTGAAAATGGTGGTGGTTCAGCTGTGCCAGTGCCTGTAGGCTGGACTACAGCACTGGATTTAATCCAGCATTAGGAGGGTACTTGCCTTCCCGAGGCTGGTAGGAGCCCACAGCCTCTGCGAATTCTGTGTGGAAGCGCTGAAGGCAGCAGTTGGATTAGCCTCCATTCCTGAACCCTCATATCACTGCAAAATTGATGGCTGTGACTTGAGCTGGTCCTTTGATCCCTGCTGCCCCCCAGGAGGGCATTTGGGAAACAGGACTGGGGAGCAGGAGGCTGCGGCAGCGGCTGGGAGCTGAGAACCGCATCGTGCCGTCACCGCTGCATCAGGCCCATCTCTCATCCACCGCCTGATGCTTGATGGAGAAATTGCCCCAAGCCCATCCTCTCCCTCTGCAGGGATGTCAAGGCACAGAAATCTCTACCATGCTACAGTAAAAAAAAACCCAAAACAACCAAACCACCCTTCCCTTTGGAAGGGAAAAAGTCCTCCTATAGGGACACTTTCCACCACACTCATTCCTTTTCAAGGGTGCTGAGGTACAAGAAAACACAGAGGATTCGGACAGGTGTCTGCAAGCCCCTCCAGGCTTAATTCGGAGCCCAATCATTTCCCTCCCTGCTTGGTTTTAGTGCTTCTTTGTAAATAATAGGTGGGAGGCTGGCATGTGGGTTAGGTGGAATTAGTTGCTTGGGAAGGGCTTGTGGCCCAAGCAAGGGATTCCAGCATGGACCCCGAATCCTCCAAACCCACCAACCTCCTCCATCTGAAATTGGGGAAAAGGAGGAAAACTCCTTCCTGGGTCCGGATCACCCTTGCATGGGGTTTTTTATTAAAGGGGGTTTCCTGCAGGGCTGGGCCAGGGGCGAGGTGCTGGTGGGTGATGGAGCGATGCTGAGGAAAGGGTTTGGGCTGCTCCTGGTGCCAGGATAGGAGAGGTGGGAGGTGGGGGCTGGCAGGCAAGGGCCCTGTGGGAAGGGAATGGGATGCTGTCACACAAGTAAAGCCGTTCTTGGTTTTCAGGATTTAAAATAACCCTGGTGTGGGGCAGGTGGGGGTTTCACACCCTTTTTATTAAACTATTGCAAGAAGAAAATCACCGCCACACAGAAATTTCTTATTTCCCACAACTAACTAAATTTAAAAAGTTTTTTAAAAATCTTTTCAGTAGCTGAACAGTTGGGGAAAATGGTACAACCTCGGCAGCACCCCCCAACGCCCCCACG